CCCTCTGACTCATGACCTCACACACGACCAGTCCCTCTGACTTTTGACCTCACTCACGACCAGTCCCTCTGACTCATGACCTCGCTCACGACCAGTCCCTCTGACTTATGACTTCACTCACGACCAGTCCCTCTGACTTATGATCTCACTCACGACCAGTCCCTCTGAAAGTTGTATCAAGCAAGTCCATGGTTGACAGAAATATAATTGAATCTTGTTTCATAAAAAGCAGTTTTGAAAATAATATGAATATTTCCTTAGGTTTATATAAATTAGATTAATTTATAATTAATAAAATTTGGTTAGTTTAATTAAACATTGGACAAATAATAAACCTTATTTCTTGGGTAGAATAATTTGTTAGTGGGATGTCGTGAGGACCTGTCTAGTTGGACCAGCGGACCTACTGCAGTGTTCCTCTTTTCTTATGAGTCCGGTATTGTCTCGCATCAGGTGTTTCTTTGTTGTGGGAGTTGACTGTGAGGCGTGGTCTAAGCCCTTTTATTGCCTTTGATGTATTACTTTCATAGTTCCTTGACAATGTGAGTAGTCAAGAAAGTGCTTGGAATTTCACTACTCTTTAACAGTGGTTGTTTTGCATATATATATATATATATATTATATATATATATATATATTATATTTTATATATATATATATATATATATATATATATATATATATATATATATATATATATAATATATATATATATATATATATATATATATGTCGTGCCGAATATGTAAAACTGGTCAATTAGCAAGAACTCATTTAAAATTAAGTCCTTTCTAAAATTTTCTCTTATACATTTAAAGATATATTTTTTTCACTAATGTTAAAGTAAAAATTTATAATTTTGCATCAAAACAATCTTAGAAAACTTACCTAACCTTATTATAACAAGAACAATTTATTCTAGCCTAACCCAGCTAAATATATTTTAGATTTGTTTACAATAATTTAATACTAAACAAACATAGTGACATATTTTTTTCGTTAGGTTCAGAATGATTTTGGTGAAATTATTGCATACACAAATTTTCACTTGTCCTATATGGCAAGATGAGCGTTGCTATTTAAGCCAAGATCGCAAGTTCTGCCTATTCGGCACGACATATATATATATATATAATATATATATATATATTATATATATATATATATATTATATATATTATATATATATATATATATATATATATATTATATATAATCATATGTATATAAGGAGGTACCACCTCTGGAACTGTGCTGGGGACCCTCATCCTCAGACAAAAGAATAAGGTTACTTCATGGAAAACTCAAGGTTATTCCTGGAGCTGTTTGAATATTGTCTTTTGCTAATACCCCCTATATTCTATATTCTATGTAGACTTTAGTTAAAGACAAAATACATTGAGAAAAATACAATAGTGAGTAGAACATCACAGATAATATCTCAGAGCTACATCTCGAATACTTTGTCCAGCTCTCTGGTGGTGGGCCGTGTGCCCAGAATGGTGTAGGTATTATTATTCTCATCAGTGTTTTTCAGAGCTTTGCGTATTTGTATTTCAGAGTTCATAGATGAAGAAATATCCAAAATTTATGAAGTAGCTAATGATTTCAAATACCCAAGAAACGTAATTGATAAATCTTTTAAAATTGCTAGAAATACTTTTCACAGTCCAAAAAGGGACATCCAACCTTATTCAAATAAAAATATGTAGGTTCTCCCTTACAATGAAAACTTGGTTGATATGCCTTCTCTTCTTAATTAAGACTTTTAATATCAAAGTTGTATTTAAAAATCTCGATACAGTAAAAAAACTTTTGATAAAGAATTCCCCCCAAAATGCTGACGGATGAGTCTGTAAGATTCCTTGTAAAATTTGCGATAAAGTTTATTACGGTCAAACTGGTAAAAATCTCGAACTAAGATTAAAACAACGTAAATATAGCATTAGAACTGGACAAGATTCCAATGCTCTATTTATTTATGTGAGATATTTTAGCCATCCAATTGATTTTCTAAAATCTGAGAAAGTTGTATCAAGCAAGTCCATGGTCGACAGGAATATAATTGAATCTTGTTTCATAAAAAGCAGTTTTGACAATAATATGAATATTTCCTTTTGTTTATATAAATTAGATCCATTTATAATTAACAGAATTTGCGAAGAATTTAATAATACATTGGATAAATAATAAATCTTAATTCTTGGCTAAAATAATTTGTTTGTGGGTTTCGTGCAGAATTTGTCTAGTTGGGCTAGCGGGCCTGCTACAGTGTTCTCTTTCTTATGATTCGCACGTCAGATGTTGCTTTGTTGTGGGATGTGATGGTGAGATGTTGTCTAGACCCTTTATATGCCTTCCTTTGATGCATCACTTTTATTGTTCCTAGATAATGTGAGTAATCAGGAAGGCGCTTGGAATTTCATTATTCTTTCACAGCGGTTGTTTTGCATCTCTCTCTCTCTCTCTCTCTCTCTCTCTCTCTCTCTCTCTCTCTCTCTCTCTCTCTCTCTTTCTCTCTCTGTCTGTCTCTATCTTCTCTCTCTCTCTTCTCTCTCTCTCTCTCTCATCTCTCTCCCCTCTCTCTCTCTCTCTCTCCTCTCTTTATATATATATATATATATATATATATATATATATATATATATATATATATATATATATATATATATATATATATATAATATATTATATATATATATGCAATAAGATCAGAGTAAACAGGTGATTTCAAAATATGCAAAACAACCACTCTGAAAGAATAGAGAAATTCCAAGCGCATTCGTGACTACTCACATTATCAAGGAACTATGAAAGTAAAGCATCCAAGGAAGCTATATAAGGGGTCTGGCCAGCACCTCACTATCAGATCCCACAACGGTTAAACACCTGACGCGCGCCTACCCAACTTGGATAGGTCCTTTGCACAACTCACCCACAGACTATTCTACCCAAGAAAATTTAAAAATTATTATTTGTTCAGTGTATTAATAAATTCTTCCCAAATTCTATTAATTATAAATGGATCTAATTTATATAAACCAAAGGAAATATTCATATTATTGTCAAAACTGCTTTTTATGAAAAAAGATTCAATTATATTCCTGTCGACCATGGACTTGCTTGATACTACTTTCTCAACTTTTTGAAAATCAATTGGATGGTTAAAATCTCTTACATGAATAAATAGAGCATTGGAATCTTGTCCAGTTCTAATGCTATATTTATGTTGTTTTAATCTTAGTTCGAGATTTTTACCAGTTTGACCGTAATAAACTTTATTGCAAATTTTACAAGGAATCTTATAGACACATCCATCAGCATTTTGGGGGGAATTCTTTATCAAAAGTTTTTTACTGTATCAAGATTTTTGAATACAACTTTAATATTAAAAGTCTTAAGAAGAGAAGGCATATCAACCAAGTTTTCATGGTAAGGGAGAACCAACATATTTTTAGTTGAATAAGGCTGGTTGTCCCTTTTTGGATTGTAAAAAAGTATTTCTAGCAACTTTAAAAGATTTATCAATTACATTTCTTGGGTATTTTAAATCATTACCTATTCATAAATTTTGGATATTTCCTCATCTATGAACTCAGAACTACAAATTCGTAAAGCTCTCAAAAACATTGATGAGAAAATAGACAGTTTGACTCTATCTTGATGCGAGGAATAATAGTGGACATAGGAACAGTTATTTGTAGGTTTTCTGTAAATTTTAAATTTGAATTCATTATTACCCTTAATAATTAAAACATCTAGAAAAGGCAATGAGTTATTTTCTTCAAACTCAACAGTAAAGTTTACAGAATGGGCTAAGCTATTTAATTTTCCAAGAAAATGGTGTATATCTACATTTTTGGGCATAAGACACAAAATATCATCAACATATCTGAACCATTTAGCTCTATTAGGGAGGATTGTGTTAAGCAACTTTGTTTCAAAAAATTCCATGTATAGGTTACTAAGAACAGGTGAAAGAGGATTTCCCATTGCCATACCAAACTTCTGAGTGTAAAACTTATCATTAAATACAAATTTTGCATCAACAATGCAAAGTTTAATAAGTTTAATGATAGTAGGAACTGGCAATGGTAAATCATAGTTAACATAAATAGAACTGGACAAGATTCCAATGCTCTATTTATTCATGTAAGAGATTTTAACAATCCAATTGATTTTCAAAAAGTTGAGAAAGTAGTATCAAGCAAGTCCATGGTCGACAGGAATATAATTGAATCTTGTTTCATAAAAAGCAGTTTTGACAGTAATATGAATATTTCCTTTGGTTTATATAAATTAGATCCATTTACAATTAATAGAATTTGGGAAGAATTTAATAATACACTGAACAGATAATAATTTTTAAATTTTCTTGGGTAGAATAGTTTGTGGGTGAGTTGTGCAAAGGACCTATCCAAGTTGGGTAGGCGCGCGTCAGGTGTTTAACCGTTGTGGGATCTGATAGTGAGGTGCTGGCCAGACCCCTTATATAGCTTCCTTGGATGCTTTACTTTCATAGTTCCTTGATAATGTGAGTAGTCACGAAAGCGCTTGGAATTTCTCTATTCTTTCAGAGTGGTTGTTTTGTATATTCTGAAATCACCTGTTTACTGTGATCTTATTGCATATATATATATATATATATATATATATATATATATATATATATATATATATATATATATATATATATATATATATATATATATATATATATATATATATATATATATATATATATATGTATATATATATGTATATATATATATATATATATATATATATATATATATATATATATATATATAAATATATATATATATATATATATATATATATATATATATATATATATATATATATATATATATATATATATATATATATATATATATATATATATATATATATATATATATACATGCAAAACAACCACTCTGAAAGAATAGAGAAATTCCAAGCGCTTTCGTGACTACTCACATTATCAAGGAACTATGAAAGTAAAGCATCCAAGGAAGCTATATAAGGGGTCTGGTCGGCACCTCACTATCAGATCCCACAACGGTTTAAACACCTGACGCGCGCCGACCCAACTTGGAAAGGTCCTTGGCACAACTCACCCCACAAACTATTCTACCCAAGAAATAAGAAATTTTTAAAGATTATTTGTCCAGTGTATTATTAAATTCTTCCCAAATTCTATTAATTATAAATGGATCTAATTTATATAAACCAAAGGAAATATTCATATTATTGTCAAAACTGCTTTTTATGAAACAAGATTCAATTATATTCCTGTCGACCATGGACTTGCTTGATACTACTTTCTCAACTTTTTGAAAATCAATTGGATGGTTAAAATCTCTTACATGAATAAATAGAGCATTGGAATCTTGTCCAGTTCTAATGCTATATTTATGTTGTTTTAATCTTAGTTCGAGATTTTTACCAGTTTGACCGTAATAAACTTTATCGCAAATTTTACAAGGAATCTTATAGACACATCCATCAGCATTTTGGGGGGAATTCTTTATCAAAAGTTTTTTTTACTGTATCGAGATTTTTTAATACAACTTTAATATTAAAAGTCTTAAGAAGAGAAGGCATATCAACCAAGTTTTCATGGTAAGGGAGAACCAACATATTTTTATTTGAATAAGGCTGGTTGTCCCTTTTTGGATTGTAAAAAGTATTTCTAGCAACTTTAAAAGATTTATCAATTACATTTCTTGGGTATTTTAAATCATTACCTATTTCATAAATTTTGGATATTTCCTCATCTATGAACTCAGGACTACAAATTCGTAAAGCTCTCAGAAACATTGATGAGAAAACAGACAGTTTGACTCTATCTTGATGCGAGGAATAATAGTGGACATAGGAACAGTTATTAGTAGGTTTTCTGTAAATTTTAAATTTGAATTCATTATTACCCTTAATAATCAAAACATCTAGAAAAGGCAATGAGTTATTCTGAAATCACAAGAAATGTAATTGATAAATCTTTTAAAGTTGCAAGAAATACTTTTTACAATCCAAAAAGGGACAACCAGCCTTATTCAAATAAAAATATGTTGGTTCTCCCTTACCATGAAAACTTGGTTGATATGCCTTCTCTTCTTAAGACTTTTAATATTAAAGATGTATTCAAAAATCTCGATACAGTAAAAAAACTTTTGATAAAGAATTCCCCCCAAAATGCTGATGGATGTGTCTATAAGATTCCTTGTAAAATTTGCGATAAAGTTTATTACGGTCAAACTGGTAAAAATCTCGAACTAAGATTAAAACAACATAAATATAGCATTAGAACTGGACAAGATTCCAATGCTCTATTTATTCATGTAAGAGATTTTAACCATCCAATTGATTTTCAAAAAGTTGAGAAAGTAGTATCAAGCAAGTCCATGGTCGACAGGAATATAATTGAATCTTTTTTCATAAAAAGCAGTTTTGACAATAATATGAATATTTCCTTTGGTTTATATAAATTAGATCCATTTATAATTAATAGAATTTGGGAAGAATTTAATAATACACTGGACAAATAATCTTTAAAAATTTCTTATTTCTTGGGTAGAATAGTTTGTGGGGTGAGTTGTGCCAAGGACCTTTCCAAGTTGGGTAGGCGCACGTCAGGTGTTTAACCGTTGTGGGATCTGATAGTGAGGTGCCGGCCAGACCCCTTATATAGCTTCCTTGGATGCTTTACTTTCATAGTTCCTTGATAATGTGAGTAGTCACGAATGCGCTTGGAATTTCTCTATTCTTTCAGAGTGGTTGTTTTGCGTATTCTGAAATCACCTGTTTACTGTGATCTTATTGCATATATATATATATATATATATATATATATATATATATATATATATATATATATATATATATATATATATATTTTATATATATATATATATATATATATATATACATATGTAAGGTAAAATAAAATATTTAAACAGATCCGGGGAGAACTTTGAGTTTTTTCTGAGGTACGTTTATTCTCTTCTCTGAGGATGAGTGTCCCCAGTCCAGTTCTGGAGGTGGTACCTTCTTCATCTGTATGAATTACTTTTCCTCGCATACCTTAAATGTCGTCCTAATTATTGAAGGATATTGATATAATTCGGAGAGAAAGAACACTTTGTTTATTCTCATTGATATCACTCAGTTTTGTTTTTTTTACAGAAATCATTGAATTCAGAGTTTGATTTCGAAAAAATGACTGAACGTCACTCTCAGCTTGTTTCCGCTGCTGGAGAAGGTAACACAGAAACCATGAAGCAGTTGTTGAAGATTGGCGTGCCTCTGTTACCTATGGCTGCTCGCGCTGATCCACTGCTTCATGCAATACGACACAACCAAAGAGATGCTGTGTTTTTGCTGCTAAGTGCTGGTGCTCCTCTCTGCAATCAATCAATAGAGGATGTGACACCCTTAGAGGGAGCGCACAACACTCTTGGAATCCCTGCTGTTTTTCCTGCTCTCATCCGCATGGTACTCCACATTTTTTTACACCAGTTTCCTATACTATTATGTTTTGTCCATATCTGTGAACAATTGAAAGTCTTAATTGTCAAAATTTAAATCGTCAATTCTTTAAAAGTATATTTGAAATTTATTCCTCATAAAACATCTGAGGTCTCAGTTATATATATAATATAATATATATATATATATATATATATATATATATATATATATATATATATATATATATATATATATATATATATATATATATGTCGTGCCGAATATGTAAAACTGGTCAAATTTTCTCTTATACGTTTAAAGATATATTTTTTTCATTAATGTTAATGTAAAAAAATTTAATTTTGCACCAAAAGAATCTTAGAAAACTTACCTAACCTTATTATAACAAGGGCAATTTATTGTACCCTAACCCAACTAAATATATTTTAGATTTGTTTACAGTAATTTAATATTAAACAAACACAGTGAAATATATTTTTTTCGTTAGGTTCAAAATGATTTTGGCGAAATTATTGCATACACAAATTTTCACTTGTCCTATATGGCAAGATGAACGTTGCTATTTAAGCAAAGCTCGCAAGTTCTGCCTATTCGGCACGACATATATATATATACATGTATATATATATATATATATATATATATATATATATATATATATATATATATATATATTATATATATATATATATATATATATATATATATATATTATATGTATGTATGTATTATATATATATATATATATATATATATATATATATATATATATATATATATATATATATTATATATATATATATATATATTTTATATTATATTATATTATATATATATATATATATATATATATATATATTATATATATATATATATATATATATATATATATATATATATATATATATATATATATATATATGTCGTGCCGAATAGGCAGAACTTGCGATCTTGGTTTAAATAGCAACGCTCATCTTGCCATACAGGACAGGGTGAAAATTTGTGTATGCAATAATTTCGCCAAAATCATTTTGAACCTAACGAAAAAAATATATTTCACTGTGTTTGTTTAGTATTAAATTACTGTAAACAAATCTAAAATATATTTTGTTGGGTTAGGCTAAAATAAATTGTTCTTGTTATAATAAGGTTAGGTAAGTTTTCTAAGATTCTTTTGGTGCAAAATTAAATTTTTTTACATTAACATTAATGAAAAAAATATAGCTTTAAACGTATAAGAGATAATTTGACCAGTTTTACATATTCGTCACGACATATATATACATATCCCAGTCACATGTAGCATCTTGCCTAGAAAAAGAGTGGACAATGAATGGATGTCTAGGGCAATTGGTATGAATTGCTGGCTAGACAGGTACTGCAAGGAACTTGCAATCCCATTCATTGATAACTGGGACCTATTCTTTGGCAAACGTGATAGGTATGCAATGGATGGGGTTCATCTCTCTGTCGATGGAGTGGTTACATTAGCCAATTCAATTGAAAGGGTAATTGATGATTTGTTTATGAATTTAAACTGATAGATTATAGAGGTATGGGTGATTGTTGGAAACAATCAGGCTGCAGCATTAAGGTTAAAAACAGCAGTTATTACCGGGATACCAGGGATATGTTTAAAAGACAATTTCAAAAAAAAGTTGCTGAAAGGGGCAAATAAATGATAAACAAACAAAGAGAGCTAGGGGGGCAACGAGTGAGTAGCTCCTTTAAGGTTTACTAACAAATAGTGGGGAGTCTAAGAAATAAAAGATGAGAAAAAAATTACTTGAAAGTGTAGGTAATATAGATATTTTTGGGTTTTATAACAGAGACCTGGTTCAACTAAAAGCAGAAATGTTTTGAATGCAACATAAGGGTTATAAACTATTCCACATATGGGTTTAAAAGGAAGGGGGGGGGTGGGGATGATGTCAGAGAAAAAAAAATTGTTGATTAGACATGATATAAGATTAGAAACATTGAAAACGAATCGTTTGGGTAAAATTTCTCGAGGGGGGGTGACAAATTAATTTTGGGTGATTTTAGGCCCCAAACCTTGATAGGGAGGGCGTAAGCTGTTATGGGACGAAATTCATAAGGATCTAAATGAAAAAAGTTGTGATAAAGGGAGATTTTAACTTTAACAAATTTATTGGAACATTTTGACAGGAAATCTTAGTCTAGTGACTTTCTTGTTTTGGTTCGGATTGCTTTTTGGAACAGGAGTGACAAACCAACTAGAGGGAAAAATTGCTTGACTTGGTTCTTGCCCAAAAAAGATTTAACTAATTAATAATCTTGAGGGTTTAAAGAGAGTTGGGGAAATGAACACAAATCATTTAGTTTTAATATATCATGGAATTACCCAGATAACTGCAATCAAATCTCTGTCCCAGATTTTCGCTAGGCCGATTTCATGGGACTGAAAAATTACTTGTGTGGGCTAAATTGGGATGTCCTGACTATGGGTCAGGTAAGTGATCTTGGTTGCCAAAATGACGTTTTTCAGAGCATAGTTCTAGCTGCCCAGACAACTTTTGTTCCGAGTAGGGAAATTAGATCCAACAAAAATGATCCCAAATGGATGAACAATAGATTAAAACATCTCATTGGTCAAAAGAGGGGCATATTTAGGCGTATCAAAAGAGGGGATGGGTAGTTAAGAAATCAATATATTCAATTAAAGAGAGAAATAAAAAAAGGAATAAGAAAAGCAAAAAGGGATTATGAGGCTAAGGTCGCATGGGATTCAAAGACTAACCCAAAAGGGTTCTTTCAGGTATACAGATGTAAGATTTGAGACAAGATAGGCCCACTTAAGAGTAACTCTGGTCAGATCACTGACAGTGAAAAGGATATGTGTGAAATTCTGAATACCTACTTCCTCTCAGTTTTCGCACAGGAAAATACTAGCGACGTTCCTGAAATAATAGATTATGTAGAACAGAATGATAAAAAACTATGTACGATTGTGGTAACTAGTGACATGGTCCTCAGACAAATAAACTAAAACCTAACAAATCCCCAGTTTCTGATGAACTGTTTGTAAGGGTGTTAAAGGAATGTAAGGAGGAGCTTAGCATACCTTTGCTAATCTTTTTAACATATCACTACAAAATGGCATAGTGCCTGACAAGTGGAAAATGGCAAATGTAATACCTATTTACAAGGCAGATGACAGGTCCTTGGCTTCGAACTATAGACCAATAAGCCTTACCTCCATAGTGGGAAAATTTATGGAATCAGTAATTGCCGAAGCAATTCGTAGTCATCTTGACAGGCACAGATTGATTAATGATTCTCAACACGGTTTTACATAGGGGCGTTCCTGTCTTACGAATTTACTAACTTTTTTCACTAAAATGTTCGAGGAGGTAGATCATGGTAATGAATATGATATTGTGTATATGGACTTCTAGTAAGGCTTTCGATAGAGTTCCACACCAGAAGCTATTGAGGAAACTTAGGGCACACGGAATAGGAGAAGAAATTTTTTCCTGGGTAGAGGCATGGCTGACAAATAGACAGCAGAGAGTTTGCATAAATGGGGAGAAATCAGAACGGGGGCACGTCGCAAGCGGTGTTCCTCAGGGGTCAGTGTTGGGCCCGTTGTTCTTCACAATTTACATAAACGACATAGATGAGGGAATAAATAGCGACATAAGCAAATTTACTGACACCAAAATAGGCCGTCCAATTCATTCTAATGAGGACATTAGAGCACTCCAGGATGATTTAATAGACAGGTGCAATGGTCGGAGAAGTGGCAGATGCAGTTTAATATTGACAAATGCAAAGTTCTAAATGTTGGACAGCTAAATAACCATGCCTCATATAAACTAAATAATGTAGATCTTAATACTACTGATTGCAAAAAGGTTTAGGCGTTCTGGTTGCGTACCTAAAACCAAGACAACAGGTTTAGTGTTCACAAAAAAGTAACAGAATTCTTGGTTTTCATATTGAAGTTTAAATAATGAAGTCCTCAGGTTGTTCTTAAATTATTATCCTTGGTTAGGCCCATTTGGACTATGACTCTTTTCTGGTCAAAGTATTACAAAATGGATATAAATGTCTGGAAAGCGTACAAAGGGGGACGAAGAAGATGATCCCATGATTTCGAAACTTCCCAATGATGATAGATGAGGGCCCTAAAATCTGCACTCTCTCGAAAGGCATGAATTTGGGGGGTGTGAGGTTTTCAGCCTGTAAAACTTAGACGTATTACAAGGCGGCCCCTCCTCGGAAAATTAGTAAAATAGAAAAAGAAATAAAACAGAAAATAAACATTTTTATTATATAAAAAATATAAAACACTTAAATAGGGAAATATTATCCTACTTAAAAAAATGAAAAATGAAAAATATAAATGAAATGAATTCAACCTAATTTTATAGGGGTGTCCGGTTTTGGTAAACCCTGAGTTTTTGTTGAAATCGTGGGTTGTGTGTGGGGGGGGGGTCGCAGGTGTTTTGACCACCAGGCTCGTTCTTAAAAAGAGTATCGCCGTGAGTTTCTACCCCGATGACAGGAAAGCAGGTTCTTTACCGCTGCAATGATGAGGGGTTCGTCCTGAAATTTTTTATAAGGTGACGGAACTAAACCCAAAAAGGGGGAAGTCTCAGGATTTTTGTCCTCTCCATCGTTCTTCTCGTTGATTGGCGGGTTTGACCCTCTTGTCATCCAAGCTGAAAGATAGACGGGTTTACCCATGCTTAAAAAAATCACTCTCCATGAAAAGTACAATACCAAAAAAGATGTGGTGTTTTATTACAACAGTAACCCTAGGCAAAACTGAAAGGATAAGTTTTTATTGGTAAAAATGAAGCTTTCCAATAAACCCACTGTTAAAAGGCAGGAATGTACTTACGTAGTGCTGGGAGCTGTGAGTCTGGTGATTACTGTTTGGACCAGAGCCCCACAGTCCCCTTTGGGGGGGGGGGGGAAGAAGGGGGGGAAAGGGATAGTGGGAGTAGATGCCCCCTACCCTTAACAAGCCCCGG